GCCAATTTTTCTATGTTTTGTATCCTTGTTTCCTTACTTTTAAAAATGAAGATATATCTCCCCCCACCCCGGTTGATGCAAGCATTAAGATGAAATATCATTCACAAAGCAGCTGAGACAGAGTCCAATGACCCATAGTCCTTAATGTTCCACTGTCTCTGGTCTGTGAAATGCAAGAGGGTACCTGTCTAATCAAACTTTTTCGGCATCGAGTCAAACCTTCTCTACAACCTCAAACCACAAGCCTCTGGCTAAAGCAAAAGGTTCTGCTCCTTCAAATTCCCAGACCCAAGAGGTCCAGAAAGGAGCTAACCTCTAAGCAGACTTGAAAAGGTGCAGTGGGCTCACAGAAAGGCAACCTGCTGCCCCTGCTCACGTGGCCCCGTTCTGCCTTAGAGTTGAGCTATCTTAGACCTCAGTCTTTCTGAACCCACCCAGCAACCCAGCTGCTCCGTTAGGCATGGGAGTGGGTACCGGGCCCTAATTCATTCTTTACAGTGGCCAGCACCAGAGAGCACACCCTTCCACATGCTAGAGATCCCAGTCAGCATAACCCACCACATTCTGTAAGCCAGGGCCCACTGACAAGTAAGCAAAGTCACTAACCTTATTAGGAAATGATCTTCCTAGTAGCCAACAAAGATGCTGAAAATTCTCATACTGGGCAAGTCATTCCTTTGGGTTAAAGGATCACCCTCTCCTGATCCTAAATTTACATAGCTTTCCTCCCTTATTACAAGAGCTGTATGTGTTCATTTTAGTCAAGTTAGCAAAAAAGCAGATATGCAACCAAAAGAAGGAACTTTTAAAAAATAAATTCCCTATTTTCTTCTTCTGAAATAATAATCACAATAGGACAGGCAGAAATAGTAAGACACCAACTTCTGGGGTGAACTGACCACCCTTGCCCAACAGGGCAGTCCCAGGACTCTCAGTGTTGGGGAGCCCTCTCTGAAGGGTGAGAAGAGGGAAGAAGGAAGGACAAAGTGGGGAAGGGAGGGGGTGGAGACAAAGTTTCACAATGACTGCTACCCTATAATTTCTAGGTATGTGCCAGATTTCAGAGAAATCTGTTAAAAATTGTATAAAATGATTATTCTTCTGAACTTTAGGCAAATCATTCATGGTTTATGGCAGTATCCTAAGCCACAAATCAGCAAAATTCATCGACTTCCTGAAAAGCAATCATGAAACCAACAATCAAGTGATTTGAAATGCCAAGTGGTCATCTCTGGGAAACCTCTATTTGTTTGCCCAATTTAAAGGGAGCAAGTTATTTCATTGACAAGAATTAAAATGGTTACCAGAGAGTGCACACAAAGTCTACTGAAGAGGTGCACAAGGCTATGTTTGGGAATAAAAGGGTACTCAATTTTAAATAACTAACATCAAGTCTGGATAGGCACGAATCTCTGTGGCACAGCAGCAGTTTAAGGCAGTAGCTAGGATAAATGCTTTAGGAATACCTGAACCGCCAGGATAAACATCGGCAAGGGGCTCAGTGGGTGGGGGAGAGGGACCTACTGCCCTCCAGGCCTGCCAGGCACAGATGAGATGCACCTCGGCGCACAGACGCCCCAGCTAGACAAAGCTATCCTAAGACTCTGCCATCTTGAATTTGAGAATGTGCCAGCAGAGGACAAGGTGTCCCTCTTCATTTGAAATCTATAGAGGAGGCAGATTGCAATGCCTGATATTTCCTAGAAGAGAGTTTCTTTTGTGGCAGAGAATCTAAGAGGATTACTTGTCAAGGACCTGGTTCCATCAGTTAAAATGGCAGAAAACCTGGTTAGAGAAAACTACTTTATTGGGGGGGAAATGACTTTGGAACATTTGAAATACCTTGACCTATGATGTAATGTCCTCCAAGGAGACTGCGCTAGCAATTCTTCACTGGCAATGAAGTCACCCATCCCCTTACTGAGTGCACAGGTAAGTAATAGCTCCAGATTGATTGACTGCAGTGAATAATACCCACAAGTCATAAACATCAGCAGAAACCCAGGAAATCCAATTCTGCTGCATTGTTTTCTACCTGTCAGAGGCCATAGCTGTATCTACACACTGCCTATATCGGAACCACGGCTGCTATAGGTTTTCCTCTACTAATTTGCTTTCCGGTGGTCAAGATTACAGCATCTCTGCACAACAGGTGGACTGGAGTCCCATGTGATCCACATACATTTGAACTACATTCCTCAAGACCTGAGATAACAGTGCAGGCAGCGCCTCCTTTTAATGACCCCATAGTGACTTTGGTTAAAAGGGATCTTAATGAGAACTCACTTAGAACGTATCAAATTCAAAACTGCACAGCTGTATGCAGAGATGAAGGGAGGAAGAGGAGAAAAGAACACACACACAACGAGAACTAAAGTTATACATGCTAAGGAAATAAAGAAAAATGCTGTAAGGAGAAAATGAGATTAATTCTATGGAATTTCAAAAAGAAGAGTTTTTATTAATAATCTTTATTTATAAGGAGGAAGGATGATGGATCCGAAACCAAACATAACAGCCTAAGAGACATTTGATGACATAAGGAAAGAAATGGGATTTCCAAAAGAAAAGTATTTTTATAAATACATAATTCAAGTAAGTAATTACCTATCAATGTCACAAAGAAGTTCAAAGAGTATAAGATCCAATTCCTATCATTAAGCATTTTATGATCTAGCTTGGGGTAAGAGAAAAATTAGATAGATACACTTAAACTACAGATATCAAACAATGCTAATACTCCAAGACAATGTGGATTTCTTAATGCCAAAGAATGGGTACCAGCAGAGAAAGGTATTATTTAGAGGCTCCCTGTAGACCAGAGTATGAGGGGACACTTCCTGGGGATGAAGATAAAATTAGACCCTGGAGATAGGTCAGGATTGCCTTGAACAAAAAAGCAGGAGAGAGATTTCAGGCAGAGAGAATCAAAGTATGTGGGAAGCACGGAAGGGCTACTGGAAGGACAGCAAGCACACTGCCCTAGAAGGATGTTTTAAAAAACAACAGGGAGAGAAATTATGTATCCTAATCACACTCCTGAAAGAAGCAGTTTGCAATCAACACACGTCTAGGACTGTGGGGGAGCAGGAGACAGGCCTCTCTAGCAGGGCTCACCAAGCCTGGCCTGGGGACTGGTTAGAAATGCAGACTGTTAGGCCCCTTCTCAGACCAACTGAATCATGAGCTCTGGGTGGGGCCCAGCTACGTGGGGTTTCTCAAGCCCCACAGGGTTTGAGGCGCTCTCATCTAGATACAAACTTTCTAACACAGTGATAAATTTGGACTGATGTAGGCTCCCCAGTGAATCCCTTAAGAAATACAAGGAAACATTCTAGCATATACTTCAAGAACCACAGGCGTATTCCATCCATTACATACAAAACAATCAAGTCCTTGAAGTAGGAGAAAGTCTCCATCATAACAAAAATCTCCCTTCTAGACTTGCTTCAACTACTTTTCCCCCCTCCCTTTTTGGCCTCTCAAGGTTGGAGTGCTTTTCATGACATTTTAAAGTCTGTATGAATAGAAAGCTGGGGAATTCACTCCTAGTTTGATTTATAACCAAAAATATCAAGCTCTTCTTGTTTCAGGCATGGACGTTTTGTGAATTGAGCATTGGCTGTACCACGGCTCATAATGTCACTTTTCTGCAGAGCCACTGTGGAAGAAAGATGACTGACTAAACTGGTTCCCACTGACTGTGACATATACTTACCAAAAGGAACAATTAGGCATCTGGTTTTCACTAAAATGCACATACACTGGCTAAATTCCACCTTCTGCAACCAGGATTACAGACTCTGGGTTCCTATGTAACTGCTGCTATTGTTGCGTGTAGTGAAAGAGAATTTTTATTTTGGAAAAAGAATAGTGAAGGTGACAAGCCTATTTGAGTGATATGTAATTTAAATCCACAATACACAATCTTCAGCATACAAAATATGTATATATGACAATGCTGGGGCAGGGGGAATATCACCTGGAGAAAATATTTCCACATTTGGACTTTCAGTCAGATTTTCCAAGTCTTCAGGTCACCCCCAAATTTTAGCATACCAAATGTCTCCCAGCTTCTCTTAATACTTAATAAGTTCATAATGATTTCATGTGGATCCCACAGTGACTATAAAAAGCCAAGTAATCTGAGGAACACTTTCCAATCCATTTAAAGCCCCAAGAATGCCCAGCTAGGGTCAGATGACATCATTATCTATAATTTATTTCAAGCGACTTTGGCTTAAAAAAATTTTTTAATACTCTCTGGATGAATTATAAATGTATTTTTGGAAGTAATTTGATTGCCTAATCAAGTAATGCCTTGCGATTATTAGTGGTGTTTTCTCTGCGCATGTTTGAAATATGATGCCCTTTTGATGTCTCACACCCCCGCCATTCTGCCCTTACTCCACAGCCTCGGTCCACACAGCCTGACAAGCCCGCGTGTAAAGGTATTTTGTTTGTATTCATATTATTTGTTCTAATACACCTGAGCTGATGTGTACATGCCTGGCACAAAACCAAACTGAGAAAATAAGATACACCATCCATCAAGTCTCGACTATATGTAGTGCTGTGCAGTAAAACAGAGCAGAATGCTAGCAGAAAGCTCTCAAAAGTTCATATAATTAAAACATCATTCTGTAGACAGTGTCAACAATCTGCCCATCACAGTGCATGCACTGTCATATCCTTAAAAGGTTGCATAACTAGTGGAGAAACATCCTGAGTGGGACAGTAACAAATTTCCTTTGCACAGCACAAAAGTGCCATGAATTGAACTAAGATCAGACTTGAAGTAGCACCCACCCACCCCTTCCATACTGGGAACACAGAGACACTATTCAAGAAAGGCTTTGCTTTATGGATCCTTCTCCCTTTGGCGCCCCCACTGATGAGAGAACAAGAGTCCTTAGATCTAACAGCTTCAGCACCCGCTGGCCATGAAAATCTTCAAAATGAAGTCCTGGCCTCCTGCCCTCAGAAGCACAGTTACTTACATGGGGGATGCCCAGTCCCCAGAGCTCCCTCCGTCTGCCAGAAGGTGATTTTTGTCTGGTCCGGGAGGCCCATGCACAGCTGCAGTCGTGGGCGATGGGGAGGACAGTGAGTCCGCACTGCTGGTAGGGGTGTCCTCCTTAGGAGGGTTGGAACTGTCACCTAGGGGGAAAAAGGATCAAATTTCAAACAAATACTCAGAGAAGAAAAAACTAACCACTAATAATTACATGGCATTACTTGATTAGTCAATCAAATTATATCCAAAATCACATTTGCAATTCAGCCTGAGAGTACCTGGGTGTTGTCTTTAAAAGTTGTGAGGGTTTTTAACCAAAGATGCTTAAACCATAAATAATACATAGTGAGGAGTGTTGTCCCCACTAGAAAACACAATAATCAAAATCAGATCAAATGGAAGACAAATGCCTCTATGGCAGCCACAACGACTTCCTAATCCCTAAGGAGCCCAGGAATAAACCAACGGCACCAAGAACAGCTCAGAACAGCACACCAGCCTCGCAGGGTCCAACCTCTCACCTTCCAGGCATTTGTTGGTTCTTTAAGCCATCCTTACCACTAAGTCACCACTTAGTGCATAATAAATTGAACAACTCTAAAGGAACCTTGTCTTCTGAGCTGGTATCTTGGATTACAATTTCCAACAGTCCAACATTAAAATCCCAGACAGAGAAATTTCCATTTCCTGGTTTGTATAGGATCAGGGAGGATGCTATACAAGTCAGGCCCCTGCAGCGACTGCACAGGATGAACTTAAACCAAAACTGAAGGCATTTTCCTAAATGAGTTGCGTGGTATATGAATTCACAGAGGCCCATTTTGGTAAATACGTTTAGTATCATTTGTACACATTACGGGTTTGGGTGGAAAATGTGGAAGACAGAAAAGAGAGCGCACAAGAGCAGCTGTTTCCCTGAACTGGACTTCACGCTCTCAGGGTACTCCCAGCTACCATAAAAGGCATCTGAACTGCACCCTTCAGAGCTTGGCCCTTCAGCCTAATCCACAATCCCCATTAAATATTAACTCCTCTGGGGTCCCCCGCAGAGGAGCAATTTTCTGTGAAGATGGCACAAACTTGGCCTTGATTTCATAGGTCAGGGGTCACAGCAGTGGCCAACAAACTGCCACAGAAGCAGATGATATACACATGGAGGTCCATAACCCCAGCCACCAACAGCTCCTGGCAGATGAAACCTTCATGTTTCTTCAGTCCTAGGTCCTAGAAACAGAGAAAGGATAAACGCCAAGAACAGCAAGGAACTTGCTCTCGGAAAACCACCTTAGATGGATTTCATATCTCCGAAAAATGAAGCACAAGAGAAACTCCAGACTCTTCTTAAGCCAGATCCCAAGATGCTAATCTTGAAAATTGACTATACAGAATAATTCTTACTGACCCCTGCCCCAGCGTACAAGTAAGGCTAAGAGGGAGAATCTTAGAAATGGAGATCTAGAACAACAGCATTCAGGAAAGCAGGAGTCAGAGATGGTGGTGATGGCTGGAAGAAGGAGTTGCTGACGAAGCCAGTTAGGGGAGACACCTGGATGACCCTGTGTAGAATATTCTAGTAGGGAATATTCTGCACAGAGACGGTGGAGCTAGAGACGGGCCCTCTCTCTGCAGGCAGGTCTGCTCCCCGGTCTGAGTCTGTCTGTTGCTAAAGACTATTTGATTGCTCCTTCAGCAAAGCCACTTTTTCCACGGCCCTCACCACAAAAGCATTTAGCTAATTGGAGAAACTCAGCCTCAGTAGAAGGGCCAATTTTCAGGCAAATAGACCAAAACCCACTGATAGACCACTGCTATGATTTCCTTTTATTTTCTTTCTGGGATACAGTCCACTTTGGAACAAAGGCTGCTTCATCCCCTGTGCCTGGAAAGCTCAACTCCATGCAGTTCTTTTCTGCAGATGAACTCGAGGGCAGTGAGGGGCTAGAACTCCAGCTCTCCCAGGCCTTTCCCTGGGCCCCTCAGGCATCATGAGCAGTGGCTCCCTTCACAATTAAGAGGGTCTCAAATGTAACCCCAGCACAGAGTAAACCCTGAACATTGGCCTGCATGATAGCTGCCATCGGGGCTCGGCCAGAAGTAGCAAAATATCATCAGTTCTGAAGCAGAACAGGATCACCTCGACAGCGACTCGGACGCCAGCCGCTCCCTGGCTTCAGGAGGCTGGATCCTGGCCCTTGGCCTCCTCTGGGCCATGCGCCCAGGCAGGACACAACACGGGGACTGCAGGCAGGACACGACACAGGGGAGCAGCAGCAGCAACTGAGAGTCAGGGACCACGCGATTACCCCACTCACCCCTACCAAGAGAAACCTGTCAATGAGAAGCAACTTTGGGGAACTGGAGACCAGGGTCTAACGTTACTTTTAAAAGATGCCTGAAATGTTTTTACCATCAGATACAGCAGCTCATTTACATTGTCTCTAATCCTTTTCCCAAGCAGACTGACACAGCACAAATTGTCATTCAACATATTAAATCACATTCTATTAAGAGAATTCTCTCTTCCTTCCTGCCAAACAGTGGCAATCTGAAGCCTTAAGTGAAAGTAATATTGGTAGAAGGGATCGTTTACGCAGACCGATCAAATGAAGAGACACCTCACCCTACTGTCCAAATGCACGAAATGCCTTTCTCCTTCACTGTTCAGGAAGGAGCTTATCTATTTAAGAGAATCACTGAATTTGAGGGAGAATAAGTATCAGGTACCTAAACACTAAATTCTTATAACCATTTCTGAAACTTTAGTTCACCAAAAATCAGATTACTGCTTTTTAACTAGTATGAAAATAATAAAATAATAAAACTTTTTTTAAAAAAAATTCTGTGGGCCGGGCGCGGTGGCTCACGCCTGTAATCCTAGTTCTCTGGGAGGCCGAGCCGGGCGGATTGTTTGAGCTCAGGAGTTCGAAACCAGCCTGAGCAAGAGCGAGACCCCGTCTCTACTAAATAATAGAAAGAAATTCATTGGACAACTAAAAATATATAGAAAAAACTAGCCGGGCATGGTGGCACATGCCTGTAGTCCCAGCTACTCGGGAGGCTGAGGCAGGAGGATCGCTTGAGCCCAGGAGTTTGAGGTTGCTGTGAGCTAGGCTGACGCCATGGCACTCTAGCCCAGGCAACACAGTGAGACTCTGTCTCAAAAAAAAAAAAAAAAAATTCTGTGTTCAATAATATGTGAAATAAAGATTTTAAGTCCTGTGAAACTAAATTTATAATTGAGAATTAAAGTCAGATACCCTCCTCGTTTTTCACCTATCACTCCTTTTAAGAGGGCATACAGCCTCTTCCCCTGGGTGTTACCTTTAACAGGCATCTACAAACAGAAATGACCTATGAGTAAAAAGGTTGTTCTGGTAAGTGAACAAAAATGGTGCTAAAGGACTTTCCTTAGGAACAGACTCCAAGATAAGAAACTCATTAGAAAACGAATGACCGCCATCTAGGAGAGCAAATGACTTCCTCACAACACCCAGTTTAATTCTCACCTTCCCCACAAAGCACCTGCCAACCCCTCTCCTGCCTCTGCTCTCGGTTCTCACAGCTGTAAGCAGCAGCAGTTTTGCATTTCACTGTCCTATCATTGTTTTATGACCTGGTTTTAGTTCCCCATTCTTTCAGGGTGGAGACCATGACTCGGTCTTGGTAATCCTTACGAGGACAGGACGTGATGCAGCGCCAGGCAAATCAGGAGTCCCTAGAAAATACCGTGGACTCGCTGCCACAAGGCATGCCATGAACAGGGAATGCCACTGCCTCTAGAAATGGAGAAGGGGAAAAAACCTCAAAGTATTCTCACAAAATCTGCACACAGTTTCTGATTCCCATCCTCTCCCCTTCCAAGCCGCAAGCATCTCTAACCCTCTTTATTCACTCAGCCAGCACTCACTGAGCTTCCACTTATGGACAAGGCACACCACGAAGGCGGAGTTATAAAGGTTGTAAAGAATCAGTCCCCAAATGCAAAGGTGCTCACAGTCTAATGCAGAAGACAGGTAAAGACCAACACCAGGAAAAGATGGTGTTTGCTATAATATGTCAAGGAGCTCGGAGACCCAGAAAAAGGAGTTTCTAAACCTGCCAGTGGCAGGGGTGAAAGACATGTGGGAGTCAAGTCCAAGGATTAGGAAGAAATCATTACCAGAAGAAATGGAAAGAGCTCCAGGTAGAAAAAAATATCAAGGTTGAAAGAAAAGCAGCAGGAGAGAATGTGGCCGCTGTCAGAGCCACGAGCAGTTGGATTCGGCTGGAGGACAGGGTCAAAAGGCAGAAAGCAGGTGTATGAAGTCAGGTAAAGAGTTTTGCATGTAACACGAAGGTGTGTGAACTTATTCTGCAGGCACTGGGAAGTTACTGCAGGGACTAAGCAGGGGAGTGATACACTCGAGAATGGATCCAGAAGATATTCAAGTTTACAGCCAACAGAACTCAGTGGATAAGGGTGAAGGGTGAGAAAGAAACTTAAGACGACCCTCAAGTTCTTTGCTTAGGCAACTGTGTGAATGGTGCAATCATTAACTGAAATAGAGAATAAAAAAATAAACATGGAGCAAATTGGGTGAGGGAGATTAAGACTAGTTGTCTACATATTGGGTTTGGGGTCTCAAGAAAAAGTCCAGGCAAGAATATCTAGAGGAGAGTTGGTTACACAACCCTACAGCTCAGGAGAGTAGCCCTGGCATCGTTTTATTGATTTGCCGTCATGCACGCAGAGTCGCAGTCAGGGCATTCGATGGGGAGAATAAGGGTGGAGAAGCAGAAAAGTAAGAGAACCCTGGGGGAATTTCAGATGTAAAGAGCAAGCTTCTCTCAACAGCAATGTTGGTGGCAGTGTTTTAAGTGCAGAAGAATGTTCTTTTGCAAATATTTAGGACTTCCCCACAAACATCAACTCTCATAAAACCTGGAGAAAAAGGCATTCAAGAGGGCACGCTTTTCATGACGGCAACCATATTTCACTCTTTAGTCTGACTTCTTTACGAGACTGAGCATATGAACAAGTGCTTTATTTTCATGAGGGACTAAAACAACCTTCAAAGAATGGCAGAAAATTAGACCATGAAGAAGGAACAAGAACTTGATAATTCTCCCATATCTAATAACTTAGAGGATGACTATATCTTTA